GAAGTTACAGTGTTTTGTGAGTGGTAGGGCGATCCTTAAAATGTCTTCTGCGTACTGATGAAATAAGGATGATCACGTTAAATTTGGTTTGGTTTTATTTTGTTTAACGTCCTATTAATAGCTAATCAATTTAAGGCCGTGCCTCCATGTGTGTAGTGTATGTGTGCGTGCGTGAGTGTATGCAGGAGACTGGGTGTGTTAGTGTGCTGTTTGCCTCCTTGTCATAGTTCTATCTCACTAAAATAGCATGCCGAAGGCACCACTCACATCATTTCGCCTGGTCACATTAACCTGTCAACGGGTTAACCAGTTGTTGCTATTCCCCTAATTACTGAACGTTAAGCAGGGAATAACAAGTACAACTTTTAAGGGCTTTGGTTCAGCATTAAAGCCAAAAGGGAGGTGTTACCAAGCAAGGCGCTAGGAAATAAAGGGTAGTTAGAAGTAGAAAGAAAGATAGAGATCCCAAATATTGCAAAGGGTGCATCAGATTTATTTTGGTCGCTTTTGTGTCCCCAAATAGAGGACACCGAAGCAAATCCCAGTTAACCAACTGTAAACAGATATATTTTATTATTCAAGTATATTTAGTGGTATTAAACTGTAACACCACCTCATTTCAAAGTTTGTTATGTTACAGAAGTTAACAAATAACATATTTGAACCGGCGTTATTGTTGTTGTCTTTTTTTATCCAATTTTCGTTTTGTCCTTTGCTGTTACCGAAAGATTCGAAGGAAGAATTCAATATTTAATGAAGCAGAAAAATGTCACATATTTAACAAATAGAACTAACCAACGCTCTCCTAAATTCATATAAGTTAAGGTTTGGTATAAGGTCAACATCCATGCTTGAGCATGAAAATTGTTTTAAACCAAGGTGTTCCGGAAGGGTAACAATCCTTCATTTAGTCCGGGTTGGATGCATGTGTTAAGAAAAGGGAGAAGCAGAAGGGTGGATTTGTTAAGAATAACTAGTCGGTCAAAATATGAAGTTACAGTGTACAGCCATGATTATACATGGGTATATGGTACATATACATACAGATATATGGGACACTTGTGCATCAGTTTTAGTGTTCCTATGAACCCTATCTTGATAAGATTATTACTCAACTTTCACATTGGAATATAAAGTAAAAATATTGTTTATTTCTTTATTTTATTTTTACTATAAATTGTAGATCAACATGATTTTGATTGATGTTCAAAAGTGAATTATTCCAGAATCATTGATTTTATTTTGTATTGTAGAACGTATCTCTGCTCAAAAGAAATGTCTGCGGTCAAGTGTAATACTGCATCAGTTAAAATATCGAAGAAGAGATTCACTTCCGAGCTAGTTTTAGACTTGTGCGGACCCTTATATAGAATATTCAGCGACAAAAGAGTATCTTGTCCTGCACTTGTTAAGGAGATACATTGATTTGTTTTTAAATACATATTTTTTAGACCTTGCTGCATCTGATGAGTTCTTTCTCACTTTGAGGTATTTATAATATAGATCAAAACAAACTTTAATGGAATAATTTGAAATACATGTGGATGAATTTGTAATCACGTGACATACCGAAGGGGTCATTGAATGCTTAATTTTTTCCGTCCATTGTCTTGAACGTACGTCACCTTTTTTAGACTAAATGTCTAGCTCCTTTACACATACTATATGTTGAACTGTCATCAAACCTTATACCTTGGTACATGTTGAAGACACCTGCATGAACATCTGGGTCACCGACCTGTATTTTCCTTTTTTCTAGTCAAACAGTTTGGCTATACTCCATTTCATTATCTTCCTTGTACCCTGGATGGCCACATTTATCACATTTGAGTAGTGGCAAGGTACATAATTAACATAGACTTGATACATAAGAGAAATATTGCATGTTGCCCCTGTATGGGCTAAATTATCAAGGGTCATGAAAAGGTCTAACCTCACATGTCGTACCAACAGATCTATGGAAAAGGCAAACATTGCTACTGTGACCTTTGACCCGATGACCTTGAAAGTTTGTCACAATGTAGCCTGCATAATTGGCTACGATACTTTGATGCATAAAAAATATCTACTATTGTAACTATGGACGCAAAAGTGGTGAAGAATGACACTAAGACTGGATTACAATATACACAAAATTTTTTTTTTACAAAATATACATGTTTTTGTTATTTATAAATAGCATAAAACTTTGCTTTCTCACTCTCACACAAAGTAAGTTTAAACAACAACATGATACTCACACAAAGCAAACAGGTAGACTATACATCAATACTGGCAAAGTCAATGTATCAGTCACTGTATGAAATCACTGCCTGGATACAGTGAACATGACAAGGCTGGTCCACCGCGGTCTGTAGTCCCCGGTCACGTCTCTCCTCTTGACCACCTTGACCATATAACTCCTGTGCTGATGGGCTCAACAAAATCCATATGAGGGGTTTCACCTAACGAACAGTCAGACCAACTGACATAAAATGTCCACACAGGGCACGGTCCGTCCGCATAAACAATTCACTGCCCCGGTAGCTATACAGCACACAGCACTCAGTTCACACAGAGCCTAAAGACGTTGTCCACACAGGACGGTCATCATAAATAATAGCTACCACCTCAGCTAGTGGTTCTTGCAGCCCTCACAAGATTGAATAACAGGCAAGCCTATGTATTTTATTACCATTGATGGCTCATAATTTGATCGAATATACATATACAATGTAGTTACAAAACAAATGATGAATTAATTTAAGGATACTTTGAAATGAAAAATTATATATATATGTATAAAGAGTAATACTAATTAAAGGATCAGGGGAGACAACTCCAAAATGATAAACACAAAGGGGATAAACTCATAGGACATCACAATAACAATACACAAACAACTCACAATTATACATCCAACACACATACAACTATTTTCTAATTAAATGAAGCATAGTCATAGTCAGTATATCAAATGTACAGTTAGAGTAGACTTTGACCAAAAGTCCATGTTCATGAATGTGCACAGGTCATTGCTACTAATATTGTTTATGAGTAAATATGTACAAATTTAAATAATGTTACAGAAAGGCAATATAGTATTGTGTTTTTAATATATTGAACAGAAAATAAACAAGATATAACAAAGCTGCCCAACTGTAATCTCATTTATCATTATGCATCAAAAAATAATATTTACCCTTCTTTCACCACCGTTTTTAAAAGTTGAAGCTTCTTCTCTGTTATTAACTTTAGTTTATTTTGTAATTTTTTAAACAGAGCAAGAGATGGAGTGGAGAGTTAAACATATCAGTATCCATAGTGTGTACATTGCGACACATAAAGGGAAAAAACTCTCAAAATAGTTATTACTTCTACACATAGGTGGGTTAAAGAGTCAGATTTGTCTAAAACAGAAGAGATTGTAATTATGATTGTTAATAAAAGGATTTGTGACATCTTGTATGTATTGAGATGAGAGTCCATGCATTATCTTATACATCATTATTTGTTTATGTTTATACCTTCTTGCCGACAATTATTCACTAAAAATAGTTAGGTTCTACCTCGGGCTTCCAAGGTGTGTGTGTGGGTAGGGGGGGATATATATAACTGTTTATAAAACTCTTTATAATACTAATAATCAATGATTGATCTAATACCTCTCGTTGATTTGTTCCCATATTCTCTTGTGAAAAACGATTGTGCTTACTGTTTACTGCTTCGTGTTCTTACGGACATCTACATATTTTTGCATGGTGGAATGTCCTGTACTGAATTGGAAACATTGCAAAAGTATGGTCGTTTGTTTATTTGCTATGGTTCAACCATTTCTCGTACAGTTGTGCTTATTTTCCAAGCGTTATGGACATATACATGTCTTTTAGAGGACGATTCATTTATTAAAAATGAGGATGATACACAAATAGGGCCATTGCTACACAAAGTTAAGCACGGCATGGTTTAACATTTAAACTATTGTTCTATACAAATAATTACAATATGAATCATTACGTGAGCCAGCATTAATATTTTTAAACGATTTTAAGAATCGTGAATTCATTTCAATCAATGTGCAATTCATAATGTGGTGAAATTTTCTGTTGCAACGTTCTGAAATCTTCCGACAAATGACATGCATTCTACTCGAATTTTAAATGTATATATGGAGACAAAAACCATGTGGTTTCGCGGTTTTCTTAATAAATGCTGATTTTGTTGACGTATTCGCCTCCGAGAAATGTAGACCGACATCTAAGAAGGGGATGTTACAACACATTTGCTCACCCGGGTGAGAAACCGTGCTAAAATTGCTGCGTTCGCAACAAGTTTTTTACCACTACAGGATTTTTCTACCAAGTAAGAAAGCGTGCAAAACGTTGGTATGGTGGAGATGCTTTTTCCATCGGCACGATTTGTCACTTCTTTCTCTTTCCACTCTCCCTCTGGGATATAATCAAATCAAATCCTCTCTTCATAAAAGTCTTAACCCTCAAAAGATACGTGCCATTAATCTAGTTAAATATGAGGTGTAATACTGTGTGCGTTATGCTATTGTTTTTGAATTGGTCCATCCACCCTTACATTAAAGACTAATCAGCAAAAGGTGGTTTTATTTTTTTACTTAGTGATACTGCCCCTTGTTCAAATACATTTGTATGTGTTTTCATTTTGATAAACATCATGTATTGCATACATAAATTTATTTATTATGTAATAATCAACCGAAATTAATTTAAATGTATTTACAAGCCTAAGGACAATGTCCCTACTCATTACGCAATTTCTAACCCGGTTGTGAATTCGTGCACTTTCTCATCCGAGTGAGTTATCTTGTCTGTCCGTCAAATTGAATGCCGAGATGAGGGAGACAAGTTATCGGGGAGTACACGCATTATTTTATCATATTAATACACAATATCCCATATCATATACGTACATTGCAAATTGTCCTCAGAAATACGAGTCTCGGTTTACTACCTAATCTGATTTTGCATTTGTTACAACCGTTATTTTACCCATGTGCGTCTCTAACAGCTGCACCACGTCTTCCTTTTCAAAATGCTTTGCGTCATCCAATGGTGTTTTTCCCCATCTGCCAAAGACAAAGCAAATATAACAGTACCTATATTTGTAAAAACATCAGGGATATTCTCTCTCACGCTTTAAAGATTTTCCAAAAAACTGACATGAAAATATGGATTTAAATATGTAGATAATTTTGTCAAACGTAGAAAATAAGAAGCTACCAATGCCATTAAATGACGATATTATAAGGGTTTGAAATCGTGAACATAAAACAGGTTATCTTCACATTTTTCATCAGTGAAACCAAGCAAGCAGTTATTGTACCTTTATGAATTTTCTTGTGCAATCTATAAAAACATACTTTCCCGTCAGAAAACCTAAATTATCAATGCCTGTTTTCAAAGTGATTGTAGGAAAATACACAGCGACTCTCTTCTCTTTTCGATTTTACATGTTGGCTGTAAAATATGACTGCTATAATAAAACTTAATGATACATCATCTTTTAAAGGACGCTTTGACATTTTTAGCACTAAAAACGTTTAGGATTCGTTTGAAATGTATGATTTAAATGCCTACCATTTTTTATGCATATTTGCACGGATTTGACAGGCGACAACATGACGGATTCATGCAGCATGTGGTACATAAAACAGACACTCTCGCAAAACACAGAATTAACAAAAGTAAATATCTTTGCCATGTACAGAAGACCAACTGCCACTAGAACTGTATGTAACAGGCATATCAATATCTTAATTTATTTGTTTGCAATGTCCCAAACAATCAGGGGCCGTGGCAGCCGTTTTGAATCCTAAACATGAAAAGTGAGTCGTTTAGTGTAAAGTATATCCATTATGGTTCACTCACAGTAAGATTAGTTGTGATTGGTCAAAACATTTTGAAAAAATGGTAACAGAGATGTCAAACTCAAAACAAACAAACCGTACTTATGCAGTGTTGGGGTAAAATGCACTAATCATGAATTGTAAGTGATGGGTAAGCATACCTGTCTGGTATTCCACAATCCACATCGCATTTCTCTATGAGGAATCGGACGACGTGTATTTTCCCTTCGGCAGCAGCTACATGTAGCGCCGTTCTTCTGTCGTAGTCCTGCTGTGTCATCTCAACGCCCTGAAGGGCAAACCTTGGAAACGCAATAATATGCATGTAGAATGAAAAAGATCTATTTCACAAGGAGGCAAATACAATGTACACCAACATACTGCCTCAAGAACACACACACACACGCATGCATGCCATACAAATATGAAGGCACGTCCGTAATTTCTTTAGTTGTTATTAGGTTGCTAAACCAAGCCAAATTTGAAGAAAGCAATACGTTCTTCCTCAAGGCTGCTTTCGTTGTATTTAAGTGAGGAGGGTTACGAGCCATTTTATGTTTTACTATTCTTAGACTTTGAATTGTTTTGAGTAAATACAAATGGTCGAACACCATAAACTAATGTCTTACCTTTTCATTGCAGAGACGTCCCCGTTGTAAGCTGCATAAAGAAGACTATGGACCTCTGTTGACTGTGAATTGGTGTTGGTATTACGGGGGTCACATTTCGTCCCACATGCGACGTCGAAATTATGAAAATTGAAGTTTTTAACAAAGTTCTGTTCAAACAAAGAAAAGAAATTATTTTTCTGTTTTTATGAACTATTATTCAGACATCGTATAATTCAAATGTAATACATAATCCTGTATTAAAAAATACATACAACCAATAAAAAGGCATTGTAAGTCCTATTTACAGCTATGGTCATTTAAGGACGTGGCAGGTTTTGGTGGTGGAGGAAAGCCGGAATTCCCGGAGAAAAACCTCCGACTTACGGTCAGTACTTTGCGACTGCCCCACGTAGGCCTCGAACTCGCGACCAATGGGTGGAGGGCTAGTTGTAGCAGAATGCAAGACGCATTAACCACTTTGTCAACAACAAAATCATGTTATCAGGAAACATTGAGTAACAAATATAAATGTTTTTTGGTACCAAAACTATGAAGTGATAGGGCTGTGCACTACCTTTAAGTTGTTATTATTTAAATGTAAAAACATTGACATACATACACACATATATAACAAACACGGAGGGATTTTCTTAAATGAAATAAGCTTTTATTAGGACGCATACTTCATAAAAGAAAGAATCTGTTACAAATTTGGAGGGAACAATATAATTGCGTTTTGTCGGAAATACATATAATGTTATGATTATGACGTCATACTCATTTGACGTGAGATTTTTTTCTTGAATACAGTTGAAATAATAAAAGTAAGCATATGATTGGGATTTTTTACTATACGATACGTACCTTAAATGCGAATTGTCCGGAGTAATCATACAACCCGCAGGAGAACATTAGAGAGGCGGTGTCGCAAAAAGACTTGGATTTAAGAACACGTTCGTCAGTTGTGGGGCACATACCACCATTGGCTAGTGTGGCTGCAGTATTAGCTCCCGAGTCACAGGTGATCCCCACTGAGTAGAGCTGTACAGTTCACAAAAGTAATCAAAAGTGAATCAATATAATATTTTAGCATTTCTTCGATAACGGTTACGATTGATTGAAATCGTGTATAAGTATTCTGCACAAGAAAATGGTTAATGTAAATAAATACCAAGTCACATTTACATAAGGGAAGGTGGTGCATTCTGATTTAACTTTAAAAAAATAACTCAGGAGGGTCGTTCTATTACACTACTATGAACTTTCTCAATCTATTATAACGCAGCAACATTCGAAGTCTAGACAATATATAATATAATATGATGTTTTGACATCTTTTGATACCTTTTATCGATAATATAAACAAAAAACACGTTCAAAAACATTAAAAACTCTTGGGTTTCATTATTTATATATAATAAGGTTGTTGTTTATTTTTGTATATAAAAAGCATTGTTGTTGATAATTTGTATGCAAAAAGGACTTGATTATTATTTGTATATTATACATTATTGTGTATTATTTGTATATTAAAAGGCATACCTGGAAATGTAAGTCCAGTTCATCATTTAGCTTGGTGTCCTCTGGAAAGCACTGAAACACTCATAAAAAACAATTACTTATTAGCTGGAAAAGAAACTGTAAGTATGCTTGACAGGCATAAAAGAATACAACGTTATACCTGCTTAATATATCGAATTCTATGATTTCAAAAAAAAAAATTCTATTAAAGCTATACTGTTACTGCGCTCAATGAACAAATATATAATTCTTCGACGGGGGTTGTTTGCAGTCATGAATATGTATACGTTTGTATTTATCGAATCCAAGTTCATGATGAGCTTTATTGCAAGCGCATTCATAAATGAGAACATATTGTGTAATGTAAGTTGGGTTCAGTGGAACATTGAATTTACCTTGTTAGCTTTCATGTAGTGAGCTATGGCAATGGTTTGGTCAGCGATTTCCTTCTCGGCAAGGTAGCTAGGGTAAATCATCATATCTCTTAAACACGTTTTATTGACAAATTTGGCTTTAGACAGTGTCTTTTTACAGTGAAATATTGAACTTCTCAAGAGCAACATCTAGTGTCAAGTGTGCAAAAGGAGACTTTTACTTCTAAATATGTTATAGACATACATAAGTCGATCACTTGCGGGGAAAGTGTTGCAGTGGACCAGTGGTTAATCGGTCAAGCCGTCTATGGTCACCGTCCCTCAACCACTTGGTCACGGTTGAGCAGTCGCCAGGCTCTTGTCGCAGAACAGTGGTGGTTATTTCCGGGCAATCCGGTTTTCCCTTCATCACCACCATTTGGCTCGTCCTTAAATAACTATTGTTGTTAATAGGACGTTAAGCATAAACAATTCAAACCGAGCCAAGATCATTAAGGTCTAGCAAACAAAATCCGTATTACATACAAATTTATGTTACAACTCTGGTAATTTTATCTATGAGAACCAGGGCCAAATATTAGTCATTATGTATTTTATTAAGACTGAAGAAAACTTTCTTTCAATTTCTTAGTAAAGCTGGAATGTTTATAGATGATATTAACAGGAACTCGTATAGGACAAAAAAAGATGACACATCAGTTTAGGTTTTTCCTTTAAAACTTCGAGTGCAATACACTGCAAAATGCGGTTGTCGTTAATTGGTAACAGGGTTTGACACTTCGAACCGTTGTAAATATAGTTTACGTTACATATTTATTATGCATTCTTTAACAGGTATCTTAACAAACCCTCAACTAGCTCGAAAAAAAAGTAATGCTTTATATATTTCATAGTAGTTAGTAAGTATTTTTGTTCGAAATAAAATATTATTTTTTATCATTATTTATCGAAAAAAAACATGTTTATCTCAAATATTGTCGAGAACTGTTAAATATTCGATCGACAACGCAGAAACGTTACTTTAATTTGCAACCATATTACCTAAAAAAGGTTTTATTGTAAACCTGTTGCTACGATTTACACTAAATCTTACTGACAATGAAGTTGGTCAGAAAAAAATCACAGTAAACCTCATGCAATTTAATCCACTATTTCTCTACTACCATAGAAAAGGACACAATTGACAGGAGATCGTCCTCTCCCGCCTTCGCAAGGGTTATACATGATTCGGCGTGAGGAATAGCGATTCTGATCTCCAAGAAAAAAAAAATAGATTGGTTGGCTGTACAGGGTTTAAGTCTGATCAACAGCTAGGGTCATGTTTCATTTTTTACGAAAACCAAATTGTATATAATAAGAATTTAAATAAAAGCATGATATATCCGATAATTTGACACTGGTTTGAATGTAATTAAGATACAGTTTCTCTTCATTTAATATTACATTTAGACTATTTACATTCAATTGATTTAAAAAATGAGTTATAATTTTTATGCAATCGGAACGTCTGCTATTTGAAACAATATGCATTTTTATCTTTTAACTTTTTAATTTAAATTTATTTCTTCGTCTGGCCAAGAATAATATAAACTTGTCCATAAAACAATATAATAATAAATAAATATGTCCATGACTACATTGCTGGTCAATTGCCTTTTTTGATGAGCTATAATATACTTACATATGGAAATGCTTAAGTACGGCAGATCCATGAAATATCAGCATTAAATTGTATGTAACACTAAATGGAATATCCCGAACGTCCCTGACCTATTGACGTGACGTTAACACATTTTGTTCGGAAAATAAAACGTTTAAACGAACATCACCACCCTGTTATAAGTTCTTTGTATGTGCTGATATAACATACAATATAGCCACAATCGCAAGTATATAAATACAACTTGTGATATACAAACATAATCGAGTTTGCCAGCAGGATCCATTCTTTGTTTTACTAGGGAACATGACATCACGCCGCCAGTATTTATCATCGGATTGTGAGGTTTCCCTTTAAGGAAAAACAACATTACGTTATCCAAACTCAACGAAATTATGCACGTTGCAAAAATAAGCTTTTTCGTACCTGTGCATAAAACTGTGTCTAAGTGTTGGAAACTATATGATTCGGGTATGACCATAGTTTTGATATTTCATTTCTGAAATACTTAACCGTACTTTAGGCTACTTTAATGAGAAATATAAGATAGCAAATAAACCAATTTCTGTATTATGTTCTGAGTGAAAAAATACAACACATCCCAACCGGAATTCGAAGTCTGAGGTGTTTTACCATCGCTCTAACCGATTGAGCTACCTTATTAACGAAAATGTCCTTGCCAAACACTTTTTTACAAACGGAAGTTGAGTGGAGGTCACTGTATATTTGACAACTCCATTCCAGTGGGACAAAACAATTTGTATCAGAATCGCAAACTATGAGATATGTTGTTATTTTCAGCGTTATCTATATTTTATTTGCCATTGAAAATTATTTGAAATAAAAATAGATGTGTAGTTCCCATTTATTTTTGTTGTACGCATATTCAGTTTCACAATATATCAAGATATTAGAGCAAGTAAGCTCCCTTTCCAAAATTTAAAATTTCTTTTTTAAATGATGTAACAAAACGCAAAAGAAGGAACTAACGCCATAGTACCATCACGATCCAAACACATGTCGTTGAACCACTAGGTTCCTGACCAACATAGCGATGCATTTCCTTAGGTCCGAGTTCATCGAGGACCATGGAATATGTAAGCGCCTTACTGACAGATTGCAGGCAAAATGGATGGTCGAAGTCGCCAACGGAGTGACTAACGGAGGAAAATATATACATGATTCAATGACCATTTCTTTTTTAATTTTAATACACTATAGCATATAAGAGGTCGTTATTTTAAGTAGTAAGGACACATGAGAACATGTACCTGCATAGGAATATCAATGGGTAATCTTACCTGAATGCTGACTTATATGGAGTATGGAAATATGTCCCTAACCGTTGCCCATCCACAGTGCAGACTGATACAGCCCAATGATTCGGATTATGCTTCGCCAACTGGGAATTACGCTTCGACACCTGTGGTGGAGAAACGTAAAGATTACAAACGCAGCAGCATTTAAGTAATTATAGTTTTCATGAATTCGTATAACTGTAATATAAAAGATATTATTAGATTTCTTACAAAATATTACAAGCTCGAAGACTACTTCATGTGAATATGATTCAATAGCACGTTTTATTTTGGTTATCTCAAAAAGGAGGAAGAATGTTGCATCTTGGACCAAACAAAATAATTGGGAGATTGTTCATTATGTCAAAAATGATATTTAATTCAATAAATTTTTCAAGAGCCATTGTGTAATTGAGTAATAAAACTGACAACACATCAATTTTGAAAGATAATAACAAATAATAGCAAACCTGCAAAATAATAAATTACATAAATGTGAACCACAAACTATAATCTGTATACAAGTCTTAATGCTGTGCTAAGGGATTTTTTGAACTGGGTGTAGCTTCTTTAATAATTGTTCTCTTTCTAACATAGTGGACACATCTAAATCAGTTCAAGAAAAAATGGTTTGATAAACACAAAAATAAAAAAAAGTTACCAAAAAAGAGTTCTCTGGAGTTCATCACAATAAACTTAAGCACTTCCTCCAAAGCAGTTGATGAAGATCATCACTCTTTTAGGAATATATTGATGATTTAAATGACACTGAAAATTGTTGCTGACAACATAATAGCTTTAAGGAGTGGGCTTGGTACTTGTAGTACAACAGAGCTACTGGTGCTGTCAACAGGAACACTGGTTGTGGAGCTGTCCCTGGAATAGCACGTTTTATTTTGGTTATCTCAAAAAGGAGGAAGAATGTTGCATCTTGGACCAAAAAAATAATTGGGAGATTGTTCATTATGTCAAAAATGATACTACAATGGATAATGATTAGGTTACAGCAAAGACATTAAATATCAAATAGACATGTCCTTTCGCAGAATCAAAGCTCATTTTATTGAGTCACAAATTTCTCAATAGTCATTGAATATTGACAAAATACTGAATTGACACATAATTAAATGAAATTCAAAACTATTTTGTGCATTTTGGGAAAGTCAGGTTTAGAAAAACTTTAAATTTTAAACCTGATTCATAGTGCTGGGACAGAAGTTTATGTCACATTGTTTTAACGCAGAATACATAAAAAAGAAAAAAAGAGCTACAAAAATGCACCATGTGGAGTAATTGCGAATAATTTGCACTAAAATATGTATATGATATACACATACATGTTTATGATTGACATTTATCTCAATGAATTCATTAGAATTCAACCATATCCTATTTTTGTGTAGGAACACCGGACTGTAATACGACTTCCTGTGATATTATCAGACTAAACTGAAATCACAGAAATCACAGAAATCAAGAATATTTCTGTATCAAAATAGTAATGACGAAAAAGGATATACAAGTGGAGCCAAAATGGTGGAATTCAGGTTTGAAAAATGCCTTGATTGTTGCCTAGAAATATAAACTTATAAAAGTGTGTGTGTGTGTGTGTGTGTGTGGAGGGGGGGGGGTTATATGCACATACATTAAATTACCTATTCCAAAATCTCAAAACCTTGACAATAACATACAAAGGTATTAGGTCAGCTGATGTTCTGTATTTTTTTTATAAATGGTGTAAAAATTAAAATGATGTAATTTGACAAACTTATTAAGTTTACCCTTTAAGTCACTTCTCCCACAGGGGTTTCGTTACAAATGTCTAGTACACATAACGTTATGCCATACTGATATAGGTCACAGCACACATAAACATATATGTGCTGTGACCTATATCAGTGTACATGTATGTTACACATTTGTAACAAACTCCTGTGCTTCTACCGTGCTGTGTACGCCCTCGAAATCTAGCTACCTATAGCTAATGGATATCGATTTTGGTCGCTTGATCCATTTTTTTTTTTTTTTTGTAGAATATATCCTATTACCTCCGAAATCTTTAGTTTTATTTTCATAATCTGTATATAACTATCACGAAACGAAATGTCAGTCATATTTGACAATGATGTATCTGTTTGACATAAACA